AACCATTTTCTGCAGCAGTAAAGCTGAGGGTTTGGGTAATAACAACAGTATCACGGGCCCAGCTCTGGCAGAACGTGCCCCTTTAACAGGGCTGCTGTAAAGTAATAATAATAATAATAATAATAATAATAATAATAATAATAATAATAATAATAATAATAATAATAATAATAATAATAGGAAAACCTGCCTATCAGACCTTTATTTTTTCTCCTGCTAAAGGTTGAAACCTACCCCACTGTTACTCAGACCATACTGTCCGTCTCAGTGAGGTACTTGTCTGGCCTTTCACAGGCCTGTGTATACACATAACTTATTCTCAAGTCATCTGCATTTAAGTCAGTCTAACCAATGTTTTTCAACTACTGGAACTTCTTCAGTAGTTTTCATAAGCTCCTAACCCCCTGCTACATCTTTGCTGCCATAACACTCTTTTTATACTCACTCCTACTCCTCTTGTTCTCACTAATCTTGTTCTCCTTTCTCTGCCTGTCTAGTGTGATGCAGGGAACTCAAATTAAGTTTTCTGGGTACGACAGCCTTGCATATAAGCAGCAGGCTGTGGGGGGAGGATCCTGAAATATTTCAGGATGAAAGGTTTCACATATAGAGAGTGAGAAGGAGAGACCTACTTTGATTACTTGTGATGTTGTTATATGTGTTCTTGCTTTGCTTATTATTCTTTCCCAAAAGATTTCTTCAACCCTGATGTAGCAGACAAGACAGTAGGAGGCAAGCTAGAATGTAATATACAGCCCCTTGGTTACCTCCTGTAAGTGCCATGGGGCGTTCTCTTTCTCCATGGTAAGTGTGAAACACTGATTTAGTCACTGGAAGAGGGGTATCTGTGTATTTTCAACACAGAGTAAGGATATACTTGAGAGCAGGCACCATTTGACATACTTTAAATTAACATCTTACCTCATTTTTGTAGTAACGTTTACCTCAGAGTGCACAGTGTGCTCTTTATGTACAGAAAACATAACATCCAGCAGCCCTTCTCTCTGTCTCAAGGGTCTGAAACCTTCCTCCATTGTAATAGCCCCCAGTTACCCAGTTAGGCTGGAGTCACTTGGGTTTTTAGCTCTGCCAGCATCAGTGAGGCTAGACCAGTGCACAGCCAGAGCAATGCTGCTGAGGGTCAAGCCCTTCCCCTCATAAACTGTCATTTTCTGTCCTGGCTTGACTTTGTCTTGTTTTGTTTCAATTGCAAAGCCTGAGTGGGAAGGGAACATGTATTTATCTCTGTCCTGGAATGGACACATGCATTCACAGCACTCTGTCAATGCTGCATCATTAGTGTTTGTTCAGGATTGACAGAACGTTCAGTGCTGCTTGGGCAGGGGCACAGCTCCTGGCTTGACAAACACATTGGGTTTCACACTGCAGCTCTGGTAGCCCCACATATACAATCACCACATCTGGCAGGTGAGTGTGGGAGGTATATGGTGCCAGAAGAATCCAGCAGTGCTGGATTGAAGCACTTTTTGGAGAGCTTTAGCTAATTGGGTCTGATCTGTTCAGGTACACCCTACTCTAACAAAGCTATGGCTTTTAATCAATTACTGTTAATCTGCTCATCTCAATCCAATTTATATAAAGTCAATATATATAAACTCAGATTCCCCTGTATTGTCACTTATACAGCTGGCTGGCAGCTACCCACTTCAGGTTTTCTCGAGGTGTCTGTATTTTTTAAAAACCCCTTCTTGGCTCAGTAATCCTGACTTGTGGTTCTAAGCCACTTTTCCCCCTTACAATCTGTTCAGAACTATTAAGAAAGACAAAGCTGGTTGTCTGCCTTCAACATCTCTTTTTAAAATGAAACCCATGTTGACACAGGAGATGTATTTTAAACTCTTGCTCGCTGTGCACATCTCTGTGAAAGAACTACCCTTCCTAAAGTTGGAATTTACAGTGAGGATGGATATTATTCCTCTTCACCCTGTTTGGTTTTCCTACAAAATATGTTTAATCAGAGGAAGGTGAGCAACTTCTTCTGTTATCACTGCTGTGTTTTTCCTATGCAAGAAGCACTTTAAAATTACACATCATTTAAAGCAAGCTTAGCTTTGCTTGTTAGTAAACAAACAAAATGAAACTACTGGCACATTTCTTAACCTGTGGTGTCCAGCCACCTAGCACGTAGAGCTTATTCTTCACTGTCACCACCACATGGCAGGCTAATGGCACTGGCAGAGGTGCCGTGCTTCTCCAGGTACCTTGCTCCATGGAATACTTCTCCACACAGTTTGTGACCACATACTGATTTTTCACTTTCATTTGCCCTCCTATTACATAGAGATCATTATGGACAGTGCCCAGTGCATAGAGTTCCCGGAGCTGGGTGGTGCACAGGCTGTGCCAGAATTGGTTTCCTCGCTGGTGGTATCTGCAGGAAAATCCAAAGTTGTAAAAGCCCTGGTTCACTGAGGTCCCATCAGCTGCTGTGAATCACTACCCCCTTCATTGTCACTGTTTATCCAGACAATGGTACAATGACAAAAGGAGCTTTCCCCTTCTCATTGAAGTTATAAAATTGAGCCAAATTTTTGCAAGATCAAATATTTTTAGTACAAAGGAACCTAATTTTAGACATCCTTTCAAAGATATTTGATCCTAATTCAGGTAATTAATCCCTTATTTCTATATGTGCTTTTCAATCATAGTTTCCACTGAAGTTAGTGGGAAGAATAAGAGCTCAGCAGTGCTGAAAACAAGGCAAATTAATCTGCCTCAGCATGGATTTACTTCCTCAGATTTAGGCATCTGTATTTGAAAATGTCACCATTTAAAAATTTTGTCTTTAATCCAGAAAATTTCTACTTTTCTTTAAAATTGGTGCATCTGGAAAAGACAAAAAAAAAAGACAGTAAAAGCAGAATGAGGGTTTAAAGCTATCAATCATTATCCATTAATCTCTGAATTACTATCATCAACAGAAAGTGTTATCTCTGACCTCCTGCACTCCTCTGGTCATTTGCCTGACTCATGTCCTGCTGATTTTCACCCCCTAGAAAAAAGCATCCTAGGAAAGTACTGAGATTCGAGTAAGGAGAATATAAAACCCACATACTTGGATGTGGGATCTAATCAAGTTGATCTACATAGAAACGCCACTAAAGTAAATCCTCCTTCTTTCAGGAGAAAAGGCATCAGGATTTGGTTGCATGTATATAATTATGCCATAAAGATCAGTTGTGGCAAATTGATCAGAGTAATTGAAATCTCTGGGAAAACTTTCAAGGAAAAAGCATGTTGTCTAATGGTCTTCTTTTGTCCCCAGAATCAGTATTTGGATTTATTTTTTTTAAATAACTAGGGATTTTCCAACAGAGGGTACACACCTATAAATCTCGATGTTCCTGGTCTTTTGCCTAGACATTTTGGCAGCACTTGCCTCTCCTGCCACGATAATATCATTGTTCTCAGTGACAACACCAGTGCAAACACATCCTAGACCCTCTCCATACTTTGGAGAGGAAATGAAGTAAGTCTTCTTTGTCACAGGAGCATAACAAAAACTGGCATCTGCGTAGCTCCCGTGCCGTGACCTGATGCCGAGAGAATTGTTGCCAATGCAGAGCAGAAGGTCAGTGGTCTCCATGCCGTATCGCAGGCTGAGAGAAGGGTGGCTGGAGGATATCTTGATGTTCTTCAGTGCTTCCTCAAACATATCATTGCATTCTGAGTTGCACAGGATCATTGTGTTCCTTTTCCGGGCTTCCACAAGAAAGGAAGGGTTGATGAGTACCAGTCTCACTTGCTTCAGGAGCTCAATAAGGTGCTCGACACGCGAGTTTCTGCTGTGCTTGACCCATCTAATGACGAGATCCAGAATGCTCTCCTCCCTGGAAATATTCAGATCATCTGATTTTATGAGAGCCAACAGCTGATGGAATTCAATCTCTAATATTTCTTCCTGTAAGCTCACCTCAGCAAAATGCTGATGTAAGTATTTCCTTGCTTGATCAGCTAAATCTTCTGCCCCCATGTGGTTTGCAAAGTAGTAGATGCCCACACAGTTGGAAGCATCCATATGGTCCATCATGTACTTCTGACACATACTGCAAACATCTTCCATCTGCATGAAATAGGCAGCAAAGGCAACCGTCTGCACATTCTGATTGGTGAGGTGCAAGTCTGCACTGTACATGTAGTGGAGTATTGTGGACACGCTCTCTGCAGAGATGTCATACAGCACCACTTCTCTCTGCGTGCATTCAGCCAAGCCACAGGTAAACATGGCTTTGAAATAGGGACTGAAGGCTGCCAGCACCACCTTATGGCAGGGGAATTTCTCCCCTTCTGCAACTAGCACAACATCAATTATCTCTGTTGATTCTTTCATTCTCTTTACTTGTTCAAATAAAATCAAGCCATGACGCTGCTTTCTTTTCTCCTCAGCCTTACAATCCATGGTTGATCTCCCAACTTCCTGTTTTTAAATCTTCTCAGAATTCAAGGTCTCCATCAGGAATGTTGCTAGAGGTAGAACTGTAACATTGTCTGATAAGGACAAATTATTGGTCAAATGAACATCGCTGTTAATACCTAAAGCTAGCAAGTCTATAGGGTGTGGTATAAATTAGTAATGCATAAAAAGTATGTCAAATTATGGAGAGGTCTTAGGCTCGAGGTCTCCAAGACACACAAAAAAATAAAGTGTACACTTCATATGAGTGCCAATATTCAATAACAACCCCAAAAGTTTTGCGATTATTTAGAGACAGTTCCAGACTTCCCTTCAAAACAGCCTTTTCCAGCTGCCTGCCCTGCCCCCTCCTTTCCCTGATTCAGAGCCCATTAAAATTAAGCAAAAGATTTCCACTGACTTTAATAAATTCTAGCTCAGACCCTTAGTCCCTTGGCTATTCGGGCTTTGTCTACCACACACACCTGAAGGAAATTGGTTCTTTCTTAGATGCTCAAAGAATCTTATATTTGCAACAGTCCCTTAGATTAGACAGCTCAAATGGAGTAGTGCCTCTTCAGTGCTCCCAGCTCCTCTCAAGCTAGGAGTTATGCCTAAGTAGAGACTTCAGAAATGCATTTACAAGGCAAAGAAAATAGGAAAACATTAGACTTGCTTTCCTCAGTTTTTACAGGAATCTACACTTCTGCAAAGTGAGTGAGAAACAGAGCCCAGAGCACAGCCCAGCTCACTGGCATTTTAAAGAGGCATAATCGGGTGTGTGGATGTTTAATCCTAGAATGGCTTGGGTTGGAAGGGACTTTAAAGATCATCTAGTTCTGCATGGAAAGGGACCAGTTTACAGAATGGTTTGATTCAGAAGCTGTGCTTATACCCTAGCAAAGCTGTCACAAAGCTGCCACCTCGTTACTCTGCCAATGGATTTGTCTGTGCCCCACCATGCCCCAGCAGCTCTGTCCCCAGGCTTCAAGCTGGGAGAGTCAAGACAATGTTGTGGCAGAAACAGCTTCTACCCCTGCAGTATGGCTGTGGAACTGGCAGGAAGCAACTTGGTGGAATTGGCCAGAGTATTTACTCTTGCCATCACTTGAAGGATAGGAGGTCTTAACAGTTTTTGTCTCTAATGTGGCACTGAGGCAATTCTGTTGTGGAAATGCATTAAGGACTTAGGTCACAAATCATGAATATACAGACAAGTGCTAAAGCCATTGAATGACCATGTTTGAAACATGCTGTAAACATGCAATTCATTGCTTAATGAGACTATTCAAAAGA